CTGTGAAAGATCTGATATACAACTATGCCCAGGACAAACATGTTCGCGTGACATTTGTGCGACTCACGAAGAAGAGAATGAACTATAACCATCAGAATACCGATACTGTGCAAGTTAACATGGACGTTGATGACCATGAAAATAACGTGGTTGGTAAGTCAGATTTTTGGCCCCCTGACATCAGAAGTAGAGACTATGTACCTTAACACAGAATGGGCTATGGCCAGACTGACTCGTACAAATATTAGAAGTTTTGATATTATATTCAGAATGCTTAATCTCATGTCTCTATCCACATTTGTTCAAATGAGTCTGTCCTTATTAACATGAAATGTACGTGGGATCCTCCATGGTACAGATTGTATTTGTAACACCTTATCACTGCCAGTTGACCTTGATGCCTTACAAGAGCACTGGCTATCGTCTGATAAAGTAGACCGTTTAAGATCATTTCAAAACCTAAATTTAATCACATACAGAGCTTTACTCCCAAATGCGAGTTATGCACGAGGGTCAGATGGGTTAGCTATCTTATCTAATACCCACACCAAGTGGAAAGCTATTCCAATAGCAATAAGCTCGGATTATGCAATAAGTGTTAAATTGTCACAAACAGGCTACTGTGATGTATATGTAATAGCTAGTCGACTACCATCTACAAATGTGTTAAACTCTGTATATTGTAATGCCCTTGGTGAACTGATGGATATATATGATAATCTGTGTGAGTTAGGAACACTTTTTATCTTGGGTGATTTAAATGCTGATGTTTGTAAGGCCAATCTAACAGCACGGGGTAAGCTACTTAGAAATGTTATAGAAAATAGACATCTATTACATGCAGTAAATATGGTACAATTCGGAGGACCAGGATATACATGCAGATCAAAAGATAACACGTCACGAAGCCTTATAGACCATATTCTTGTACCGTCATGGCTACGGAACTTCATTACAGACTGTTACATTATAGCAAGCTGTCCTTATGAAATATCTGATCACTTTCCTTGTCATATTTCTATATCACAAGAAGGGCTAACTAGCCACGATCAAAATATAAAGCGAGTTATCCCTAAGTGGGAAAAAAAATAAGACTTATATTTCTATGTTTCAAGCAGAAGTTGATAGATATATTAAATGTGCATATGATGGCAATCCAGACCCCCACTCCTTAGATCCACAAAATTTAGAAAACCAATGTGACATCATAAATAAAATACTTATACATGCAGGTAACAAATGTATCCCACAAAGTGTGTTTAAGCCCTTTCTTAAACCATTTTGGAGACAAGATGGTCTTGATAACGCACACTATCGTATGAGGGTGGCTTGAAGAGCTTGGATTCAAAATGGTAGATCGAGAGATAAAGATTCAAACGAACGTATATCTTACGGTTTTTTAGACGCCTTTATCGCAAATCCAAAAAAGGTAAAAGGAAGGAAGTCCTTACAGAAATAGAAAAATCATCTGAACTTGATATACATTCCTTTTACAAAACTGTAAGAAAGCAAAGGTCACAAACTACAGATATAACAAACCTCAACTATGAGGGAGAGAGTGTCACAACACCCTCGGACATTTGTAGATTGTGGGGAAAATATTACTCTGATCTAGCTCAGCCATATTGCTCAGACACTTTTGATGAACATTTTCAAAAAGAAATATCTTCTTCCCTAGAACGTATTCACGAAGAGATAGCGGCACATGATGAGGAACTAGAAAGACAATTTTCCACTGTAGAAATAAAGGAAACTGTAAAAACACTGAGTAGAAACAAGTCCCCTGGGCCTGATAAAGTTACCAACGAGCATATAATTCACGGGGGTGAATCCTTGATAAGATATCTGTGTGCCCTGTTTAATGCTATGTTAAGACTTCAATACATTCCTTTTAATTATAGACTAGGAATGGTCATTCCTATATACAAGGGTAAGAATGACAAATCGGATCCCCGAAACTATAGAGGTATAACCTTAACTTCATGCATTTGAAAGCTGTTTGAAAAACTTATTGTTAAGCGTATTGAACTAAAAATGATAAAGTCAAATCCTGATTTCCCTGACATGCTCCAGTTCGGCTTTAGGAAAGAACATGGGGCAATAATGTCCGTTTTTACCCTTATTGAAAGTATTCAATTTTACATACAGCGAGATTCTACAGTATATGCTGCTTTCTTAGACAATGAAAAGGCTTTCGACAGAATATGGCAGGACGGCCTTTTTTATAAATTACACCAAATGGGTATCAGAGGAAATACATGGAAGTTATTACACCATAGCTATACAAATAGCCATGCTTTTGTTACTTATCAGGGTGAACAGTCAGATATATACCATGTAAGGCAAGGTGTCGGACAAGGAAGAGTTCTCTCTGCTTGGTTCTTCTTAGTCTTCATTAATGACCTTATAACAGCCCTTAGACAAGCAAATAGTGGTATTTGTGTATTTGGTCTAGATATTCCAACTGTTTTGCTTGCAGACGACACAACTCTTGTGAGCAACTCGCCACGAGGGCTTCAAAAAGCACTTGATACAGTACATTCATATGCCTCAAAGTGGCGACTAACGTATAACCCTTCAAAAAGTAATGTTGTTGTCTTCTCTAAGACAAAACAAAAGGGGTTAGATATTAACTGCAAACTTGCTGATATAAATATAACAACCTCTGACTCTGTCATGTATGGTGGCATACTACTAACGCATAACCTGTCATGTATATCTAGTATTGAAAAATGTTGCCAAAAAGCAAGAGAAAGTGTTAATTCGTTAAAATCTGTGGGACTCAACAGTTCTGAGCTACATCCAGCTACCAGTGTACAAATCTGGTTAATAATGATATTAAAAACAAGTTTTTACGGCTGCGAACTGCTCTTTGATATTAAGGGTCAAAACATTAATGTCATTGAAAATACTCAACGCTATTTCGCGCGAACTGTACAAGGACTAGATAAAAGATCTCCATCAGAATCCACTATTGCTAATCTTGGGCTCTGGACAATGATCGGCTATATCGATAACTGTAAACTTCAGCTGCTTGGCCGCTTATGTAACTTAACCTGTAACAGTTTTGTTAAACATCTTTTTTGTGCATACATTGCAAATCCAACTAATCCTAAATCTGTATGTGGAGATTTATTATCAGTTCTTGACAAGTATAACCTACGAAACAACCTGTGTACATATATATATAAGCTGTGGTGTATTTCCTACAAAGAGAAACTGGAAGCAACAGGGCCCCGTTCCTCAAAGCGTTCTTAGCGCTACGATGATCGTAAGCCTATGTTAAAGTATGGGACTTATGATCACCTTAGCGCTAAGATCGCTTTGAGGAACGGGGTCCTGGTTGATAAAACCATTCATGAATATGAAGAAAATATGTGGCGCAGAAAAGTTTCTGTCAATACAGGTCTTTCACGCTTCATGCTAATACACACAAAGCTTACTCACCATATATTATGGCAACTAGCATCTATGTACCCAGAACAGAGGTCAAGTTTAACATTTTGTGTTGGAGTTTCATCACGAAACAAAACTTCCAGGAACTGTTTATTGTGTAACAAGCATGCCTTTGATTATGATAATCACATCATATTACATTGTGAAACTCTACTGCAGGAAAGAAATGAACTGTTTTCAACTTTTATTGATCTGCTTGATGTTGAAACCTTTGTCCAGTTGGTATTACAAGATGAAGAAGATATGTTGTCCTTTTTCTTTGGTGCTGATACTCACTTCTCACAATGTAGTGATATAGTTACATGGGAATCTGTTATACTGATATTTTCTGCTTATGTACTTACACTAAAGCCTTACCTTGATTATGTCATCTGATCTAACCTTTTGTACTGTGTGAATGGCATAACACTGGTGCTACTGCCTTGTATTGTATATATGTACAGGTAATATGAGCTTGTGTGAATACGTTTGATTAATTATGCATAATCTTCGGATTAACTTCTGGAGGAAATAAAGAATCTCTCTCTCTCTCTCTCTCATGGAACCAAACAATTACGTCTCATATACAGCCCAACAGTTGACAGTTACCCCCAACATACAGCCAAACAATAACCTCCAACGTACAGCCCAACAATTACATCCACTATACAGCAAAACAATTACCTCCCACATGGAACCAAACAATTACGTCTCATATACAGCCAAACAATTACCTCCAACATACAGCCAAACAATGACCCCCCATGTACAACCAAGTAATTACCTCCAATATACAGCCCAACAATTATCTCCAACATGCAGCCAAAGAATTACGTCCCCTGTGCAGCCAAACAATTACCTCGAACGTACAGCCAAACAATGACCTCCCATGCACAACCAAGTAATTACCTCCAACATACAGCCAAACAATTACCTCCAACATACAGCCAAACAATTACGTCCTCTATGCAGCCAAACAATTACGTCTCATATACAGCCACACAATGACCTCCAACATGGAGCAAAGCAGTTACACATGTACCCCCGGGGGAAATTACCTTCCTGAATAGGATCTGAGTTATGTTTGTCGGATGTCTTTTTTTTCTAAAAGTAAGAAGTTGGTGGTGATCATTTGGAATAGTCTGTTGACACACACCTCATAAACTTCAATTCAAAACTTTGAAACTTAATAAACTAACTACCTTAACTTGGGGAGGGGGGGGGGGGGGGGGGGGGTATTACGTAAGAAGCAAAGAAGCATAACATTTCTAATAAATATAGATTCGAGTAATTATGGTTTTTAGATCTATACGAACCAATTGTTTCAGGAAGTAATCACCGGACTACACTAACCATTTCTGGAAACTTCGGTACCGTATACAGAGCTTATGTTTAAATGTTTAACAATTAGCCAGCGACCTCCTTGAATGTATTCCTTTGCGGCTTCTCTTCTAAATCAACCAGGAAGCACGTGTGACAGTTCTGTGACATATGACTTCCACAAAGGGGAAGATGTTACTTAAAATATGTTCGTACGTGCACGATGTGTCAAGCGTGTCACGAGACTATGACAGGCATGGTTGACTCGTGAACACGATAAAATTATACACATTAGATCGGATTTCTTGCTACAATCTGCTGGAGAAACTCCACTCACATTTAGGTAAGAAATGTGGGTTTTAAGCAGCATAGTATTTCTGTCACAGCTTGATGATTTTGATTTTGGGGAATAGGGTGGTCAGGTGAAATGGGGTTTAACATCGCGTTCAACATAACTGCACGTACATAACAGTGCGTGTGCGTTCGTGTGTGTGTGTGCGTGCGTGTGTGTGTGCGTGTATGTGTGTGTGTTTTCGCGTGTGTGTGTGTGTGTTCGCGTGTGTGTGTGTCTTAGTGTTAGTGTTAGTGTGTGTGTGTGTGTGTGCGTGCGCGCGCGCGCGTGTGTGTGTGCGCGTGTGTGTGATTGTATATGATATACCCCACTCAGACACAGTATACTGACTCCGACCTGACCAGTTCTTGCTTTATCCTCTTATTGCCGATTACCAGGCAGGGTTACAATAAAAACCCTGTTTTAACGGATTATGTGCATGACGCGGAATGGGATCGAACCCCGACCTTCCGCACTCGGGGCAGATGCTCTCTTCTCTACACCACATAGGCCGTCTTCCCTGACAGGAATAAACCAAAACACATTTCTTTCCATATATAAATACACACAGAAATTAATTAAGCACCCCATGACAAAATAAAGAACAGTGATATACCCATTCATAAAAATTCAGGCTTCATGATGCAAAAAGACATGTAAACGTGAAGCATGATACCCTTGAGTTTCAGGTAAAGCACTTTGATATAATAATAATTGATGCAAGTAAGGATATATAAAGTTTAGTCGGTACATGTAACAAGGGCACGCTGGAGGCTTTTAGGGGTACTCCGCTGGTAAGGTATTGGCATGCATGACACAGGTATGTCATTCAGAGCCATTGGACGTCAAGTTGGCTATGACCACAATGTCATCAGCATACCTTCGGTAAGAAAATACCGACAGAAGTAAAGGACCGTCCACGAGCTGGGCTATCCCGAAGACTGTATGGGAAGACAGGGCTCTAGCACGTGTACGTTTTGTGAGGCGACAACCATTTGCTACGAGTACAGCTCTGAAAGAGCAATGGCTGCCCCACTGGCATCAGCCCACCAGAAGTGTCCGAAACGGGCCAAAATCATTTGGGTTGAAGTCAAGAAGGGTCATCAGGTGTTCCTTCGTAAAGGCTCATCAGCAGAGTCTTCTATTGGCTCGGTGTATGGCTCGACGTCATTGGAATCTAAGGACGTGAAGACGAATACATTGGTCTGATGAACGCAGATTCACAGATGGGCGAATGCGGGGTAGGAGACACAGAAACACGGCGTATATGTCTTGGAACATTGTACCAACAGTCCTGAATGCGGGATGCTCCGTCATATGGAGAGCAATATCTCATGATTGTAAGCTGGACATGGTAACAGTACGAGACAATCTCAACGGCGACTGTCACATCCAGGACATCCTCAACAATGTTGTGCCACATTTTGACAATCATGCACTTGCCACTCGACCCGTGTGTACGGCGACAATTCTAGACCCTATCGTTATCGTGCTGTGACTCCATTTATGCAAGTGCTCGCTATGGACCTTTTGTCTTGGCCCGCTATGAGTCAAGATTTGAATCCATTGAAACATGTACATGTTTATGACATTCTTGGATGTTGGCTGCAGGCAATGAATACACCAGTACAAAATGTGGCAGCTTTAGAGGCTACATTGCATCGGGAGTGGCAGCAGGTTCCTCTTGATCATTTCAGAAGACTCTAGACAACGCTAGAATGTCCTTTGTAGTATTCCTTGATCGACGTAATTTTAACACACATTTCTAACTGATCATGATTGACAGCTACCTCGTCTATAATACTTATCTTTCACAATTGTGTACATGCAATCATACCATGTAAGCTTAAGGCGACGCATATATAACATTCAATCTCACTAAAATCAGGCCTTTCACTCGGATGATACATGCTTTTGTTCCTCTAAGTCATTTCGGAAGTAAGGGCACGGGTGGCCCAGTTGTCTAAGGCGCCGCAATTCGCTGTGCAGAGTTGCGTCCCTTGGGTACGCCAGAAACCTGTGTATGTGGGTTCGAATCCCAGTTCGCCCCGATTATGTTTCTAGCTTTGTCAGCACCACATCCGTGCTCGTGGGTTTCACCGAAGTAGTAAACGTCTGAGACCTGCATCACTTCGGGCTTTCCTCCCACATTAAGCTGACACGCCGTGATATGACTGGAATAATGTTAAAAGCGGCGTTAAACCCAACTCAATCACTCATGATCAGAACTTACAAAAACGTGCATCAGCAATATACATCGGCTTCCAAGGCCCCGTTCCACAAAGCGATCTTAGCGCTGAGACCCAACGCGGCGTTAAACCCAACTCACTCACTCACTCATTTTGGAAGTTGCACATATCTTACAATATGGTTTTCACAGTTGGACAGGGAGACAGGGGCTTGGCAGGACAGGAGACTGCAGACAATATCAGTGTCACATCTGGCTTGCAGTTAGACACTGAGATCTACAGAACCAATGTTGATGATGTCACACCACAGTCATACAAAGTCGCACGTTTACCCGGGACGTGTGTCACAATATCGTAATGGTGTAGGGTACACAAGTGAACAATAAACGCATACTGTTTATTGATGTTTCGGTGGGCTTTTGATATGAACCAGCATTCTGGTGGAGTGGAATCTTTCTACAAAGATTTCAAAGAGCGTCTTACGACTCTTGCTCAGAAGCTATTTGATCAAGGTTACAACATTCAAAGCCTTAGTAAAGCTTTCAAAAAGTTTTATGGTAGACATGTGGAGGACATTTTCAAATTTGACACATCAGTGACAAAAATTATGTCCGATGCAATTCCCTATTTTGACTTGTACCATATGTTACCATGTTTTTTTCAGGTGAACAATTGACTTGCCTTTGTGTGTGTTTGTGACGGGTGCCATCTATGTGTTCCCGTGTTGTTGTTTTTCAGTTGAACAATTGACTTGTCTTTGCATGTGTTTGTGACGGGTGCCGCCGTTGGGACAGGATACGCTATTCTTTTCGCGAACACCTGGTATTATAACCATTTGATAGTGATTCATAAACACATGCTCTTGATATCGTCGGAATCGTACAATCGACTCTGCTTTAAGCAGAGATGAGATTTTATCGGATATGGGATATGGAATAGTGTAACATCAAGAACTAAAGTTACTCAAAACATGAAGAACATGAAGGCATGTAAGAAGGGTAGAAGCAGAAATGTCTCAAGAATGTTAAACAAATCCGGGATTAAACCATGTGCATTCTCAGGTGTTCTTGAACGCGAAGAGACGAGATAAGAAGAGCTGTCTGGCTACAAAATGGTTTTCAAGAAAGAAACATTTTCTTGTGCTGACATGAAATTCCAAAAAATGACATCCTGTAAGTGTATTACATGCCTTGGTAAATCTTGAAGCAGAAGTGTTGCGATCTTACAAGAGATCTGTTCACCTTTGAATATGTTGGGCCAGAGAGCCAAAGATTCACATGTGCTCGTCAGTTGATTAAGGCCTTTCGAGTGGCAGACAAATTTTAATATGCATCATCGTTGAGGATTTCACTTTGAAAAAGCATTTATCGTTCTCTCCCTGGAATTCAAGTTGGAATCTAGCTCAACACCTACGTGCTTTGTGTTCTTTGCCATACAGTTTTGTGCAGCACTGGACGTCATTTGACTCAGGGAATGTCATCAAAGAGCTCTTGGATGGGTAAAGGTGAACCGCATCTTTGAGCTGTAATTCTCACAGGTTGTTGTCATCAATTGGAGGTAGAATGTTATCAGGCTGACAAGGGAGATAACTTCGGCTTGAGTTGGTGCTTAGATTTGAAGATCAAGCACCATGGAGCCTTTCTTTGCTGTTGACAGATTCTTGAGAATATCGTTGATCTCGAACATATACAGTTTGGCAGAGAGCACATATCTTTGTCTCACACCTCTTTGCTTTGGAATATATTCAGTGATCAAGAGTCTGTTGAACATCCCTTAGACGTTGTTGTACAAATCGGACCTGCCAAGTGCTCATAACACAAGTCATCAATTCTTGCAGCCTTATTGTTTTTCGGGGACATGCACAAGGTTTTAATCTCTCAGCTCGATGTGCACATCATGACTTTGGAACCAATTGCAAGAACCCTTTGAAGTTGATAGACTTTTGTCTCTTTGGTTTCTCTTGAAGTGTAATCAAAGTGCCCTTACTGGATATTGCTGAAGAAATGCCAGCCATAACATTACAGGATCCGTGGTCAGTTCATCATCAGTCCAGATCGATGTAATTTGTCTCCCTTTGGTCGAGGTCTGTAACACTGCTCAGAAAGCTTTCTGATCTACATCCTGGTTTGTCAAGGCTACTGAAGTGCTCGTTTGCAGCTTTTCTCATTGCATTCCTGAACAGGTCATTAATATTTTTGTATGTGTTTTATGAAGTGTTTTGCTTTCCTCTAGGATTCCGATCTGTTGTTCATTTGCCCTCTTACCTCTGTCACGCAGTCATGGAATCTCTTAACCTCATGTTTCCAGAAATGATTTATATTGGCTAACTTGAATCCAATCTTTTGTTTTATTGCAGATACAGCTTCAATGGCTTCATTAGACCATTTCTGAAAATACTGATAAAACTTAACAGACACTGGCAGTTACATGTTCTGTGGTCAGTAAACTCATTTATCGTTCTACTGCTTCTTTTTTGTTGCCTTAAGGTCCATTTAACAATTGAGCTTAAAATGGAGTGCTTTGCTCAAACGCAGCCTACAAAAGTGCAATGGGACTCAGTTGCGGAAACGTCTTGTCAAAAACATGATGCACGTGCATATCGTGGATGGTATGGGTATAACAGACACCCAAAACTGTTAAGCTGGCTTTCGTTATTTCGTTTCATCAGCCATGCCAAGATTATCAGGAAATGAGAGACATCAAGCGACCAGAAGACTGCAAGGAGGCCAGAGCGCACAGGTCGTTGCAAATGCATTCAGTGTCAACGTAAGAATGATATATCGTTTGCAACATCGCCACAACACCACCAACACCACCGACGACCGACCACGAAGTGGTCGTCCTAGAGTCACTACTCCCAAACAGGATCGGTTCATGATACGCCAACATCTGCAGAACCGATTCCGAATGGCCACTGAAACAGCTCGGCAAACCATTGGCAACCACCAGCGTGCCATCAGTGATCGTACAGTCCGACGTCGTCTTACTGCCAAAAACATCTCATGCCACCGTCCTGCTCCTGTACCCATCCTGAGAGATCGTCACAGACAGGCCCGACTGCAATGGGCCAGGCAGCGTCAAAATTGGCGTCAACAGCAATGGAGAAGAATCATCTTCACTGATGAAAGTCGCTACTGTGTTTCAACGGTGGATGGCGGAGTCAGGGTCTGGTGAAGGAGGGGCGAACGTTATGCTGATGCTTGTGTTATGGAACGAAACCCGTGGGGCGGCCCAAGCATCATGGTTTGGGTTGGAATCGGACTGAACCAGAGAGTGGGACCCGTGGTCTTTCAGAATATTGGTCCAGGCAGGGGTAATGGCATCACAGCTCTCCGCTACATTGACCAAGTCCTCAGACCTCATATCGTGCATTTTTGCCCGTCATCAAAACCAAACCTTTCAGCAAGACGACAACGCCCGTCCCCACACTGCCAGAGTCACCAGGGACTTCCTCCAGCAGCCTTGCCTTGGCCTGCCCTCAGTCCCATTGAACACTTGTGGGATGAGATCCAACGCCGACTCAACGACGTACGCCCAAGGCCGACAACTGCAGCAGAACTGCGTGTAGCGTTCCTGAGGATATGGGCCCATATCCCAATGGCCTTCATCAACAGTCTAGTCCACTCCATGTACAGGAGATGTGTGGCTGTAGTCAACGCCCGTGGTGGCCACACCAGGTACTGATTTCGAACCATCCAGCTGTGATGTCTTCTGGTGCCTCCCCAAATTCACAATTCGCAAAAACATTCCCCTGACTGTTAATTTCATGTGGGTCAAACACTGACTTTCTCCGATGTCTTTACTTGCATTTGAAAATAAAGATAATATTTATATGATACTTCCACATGACGTTTCTTTTGCCTTTCAGTGTATATGTATTGAAAAGGTTGCCCGCTCTTACTTCTGCAAAGATGACCAGCTCTAGTAAATCATCTGTGCAGGGGGTCTGTTGGTGTTTCTTGTCCCCTGAAAAGTAAAAACTGAACCTGTACAATTATCCTGCACATTCACTGATGTTAGCGAGTGTTGTATCCTGACGAGTTCCGCCTGAATAAGATATATTGTAAACCTATAGAAAGTGTTTTCTGTGATTGGCTAATTTGGGTCACATGACCAAATGTCAAAGGGTGAAAATATTATTTGCATTCCCTGAAGCAAGCAATAGGTTAACAATATCGATAACAATAGGTTTACAAAATCGATAAATACTATGTGTGTGTCTATTTCCGGGATTTTATCGAGTATTTGCATCTTGGAAATTTTCATTCGAGCCTCTCAAGCTAACGCTTTCGGGTTTCGAGATGAATTTCCAAGATGCAAATACTAGATAAAATCCCGGAAATAGACAAACACATAGTATTTGTCTTCTAATTAGTCCTTTGAGTTTGGCATTGATATTGTGAAGGAATATTTGTGAGAATGTAGAATAGATAACCTCAAGTTACGTAGTAAATAGTTCATTTGAACGGTTTGTTGTTGGCATGTAAACACTGAAGAAATAGGTCTAAAAACCGTTTCGATAAATGGGACGTATTTCTTCAGTTTAAGTTTTAATTTTTTTTAAATATCTGGTGTTGTAGCTGTAGTTGAAAACATTATCTGATCTCGATACAAAATCCTAGTTGTGGTCATGAAATCATATCATGTAAGCTTAATGCATCAATAACATTTAATCTCATTCAAATTAGTTCTTTCACTCGCATATGATATTCCATCATTTATTGTGTACTTTTGAATCCCACTGCAGTTGTCGAAGACATAAGTAGTAACGATGAAGACAGCGTTTCTGGTGTTCCTTGTGGCGGTCGTCGTGCCTAGCCATGGATGGGTAGGTTGCATCTTGTCCAAACAGGCTTAACGTCTCTTTGAACATTGGCGCCATGAACCTGTTTTTATGCTATAAAACATTGACATTGTATTTTCGAACGCGGTAATAACCCACATATAAACTTATCTCAGAGTAAAATATGAATTTACGTTACCAATATAAGTATATTTAAGAAGGAACGTTTTGTTACTCTGCAAGGAATATTTCTGACTTGGACAATGTAATCAATGGAGATTTGTTAGTCAGCGGCGTGAGATAGGTGTTTTTCATTCATCACGTTTCTATCCACGCTGTAACTCAAGAACAAGTTTTGTATTCTTCACACCGGGAACCACGGTTTTAATGATATAAAGGATGTCATTCTATTTTCGAAAGAGTTCATCATCCACACATACATATATCTTATCCATCACATATTATTTTACGGTATCAGTAAAAGAATGTTTAACTAGTAGTTTTATTTCCGCTCGCAGTGAAATATTCTAACTATGTGAGTGTTGGAGATTTATTCAATTTTGCAGTTACATTGTATATACAGCGATGTGATATGTGTGAGTAATGGTTTATTCATGACTCAAACCTTGTTCAAGAACAACTATTGCATTCTTCAGGCAAGAAACAAATAGACTCATGTGCTTCCGTGCTAAGACATAACTTCAAAACGTCAAACCAAGAGGATAATCAATCAAAATTGATTTCATAGGGTGTAAAAGGTAAAATAACGAAAACAATTACATGTATGGATCACTGAAAACTTGTGATGACACAAGCTCTTCGCGAACAGGGTAAGCATGTCCTGTTCTTCCGATAGCACCGCCACAAATTTTTCAATTGAAGTGCCAGTGATGAAGAAGGTGCTCCATGTAAATGTCTTAGCATGGAAAAGCATATTGAGCGTCGTGTCATGCTTAACACATCAACTGAACTATTCACATTGAAGTGCGAATTTGGATGATAAAAAGTGGAAGTTAACCCGATCAGGCACATGACAGTAAAAGAATCTCATTTTCATAGGGCCTCGTGACTGGTGGTCATATTCAAAGGACCGCTGACAATTATATAGACAGCACCAAGTGGTCCAAAGCCTCAACACACAGAACCGGGGCAAAGACCAACAAGTGTAACATCTTCGTCGCGGAAGTCTTGGAGGAGGCGGGAGGCAAGGTTCCCCACAGGTAAGATGCACCCGTGAAGATCCGAGTGAATGAGGTCTTCAGCAACCCATGTATTGTCGTAAGAGGCGACTAATACTAGAAGACCAACCTGTAGGTCACGTGATCAAATCATGGAAACAAAGGTTTTAAAGTGTTTTTGAGTTTCCTGATGTATACTGAACAATTTTGACTTGGGCTGCCCGGTTGAAAATCCCGGGCATTTTGTGGAAGGGTCAACAAAGGTCACACAGGGGTCAAAATTCAAAATTGTGTCGATATGCACATCAAATTACTCGTCCAGTCATAAGGAACCTAGAAAATACCCATGTATTGTCGTAAGAGGCGACTAATACTAGAAGACCAACCTGTAGGTCACGTGACAAAATCATGGAAACAAAGGTTTTAAAGTGTTTTTGAGTTTCCTGATGTATACTGAACAATTTTGACTTGGGCTGCCCGGTTGAAAATCCCGGGCATTTTGTGGAAGGGTCAACAAAGGTCACACAGGGGTCAAAATTCAAAATTGTGTTGATATGCACATCAAATTACTCGTCCAGTCATAAGGAACCTAGAAAAATATAGTTTGTTATACTTCCGACCTTAAATGGGGTAGCTATGGCCAAAAACGTTGAAAGGTCAACGCACTTTTGGCAGTCGGTGAAAAATTCACAAACACAATTAACATTGTCCGATAGTCATGATTTTAGTGTCTAATAATATGTTTTCTGACATGACAAATTCAACCAAGCAACTTTTAAAAGTAAAAAGGGTTACCTTGACCTTGAAAATCGAAAATGGTTGGCTGCACGAAGAATTGTAATGCTTCAGCAAAGTCACAGGATCCTTGGCCAATAACGCAGCTTATTTCAGAATCCATTGTCCAGTAATGCTTTTCTAACCTTACTTTAGTGCACAGTTCATCATCCTACTCTGTGTCATACCGATCAGATGCAGAGTCGGAATCACTGTCACAATCACTAGAATCTAGAATCTGTGTTCGATTCTACAGAGCAGTTTGCTCTGGCATCACTCAGATGTTGAGGCAGTGCTGGCTGTGAATACCGTTTTGGCAAGTAAGCATTTCTGGACAATGGATTCTGAAATATGCTGCGTTATTGGCCAAGGATCCTGTTTCCAATGACTTTGCTGAAGCATGGCAACCATTTTCGATTTTCAAGGTCAAGGTAACCCTTTTTTACTTTTAGCGGAGTAGTACGCAGAGCGTCTGTCTGGAGAGCGAAAGATCGGTGATTCGAACACCGACCGCGTCATACACATAATACGTAAAAAGGATTGGTCGGCCCAAGCACACACACACGCACAATAACACGCACACGTACACGCACACACACACACATGCATACACACACGCACACACACACAGAGCATTTCGCTTTCTTTCGGAAGTGGAAATATGAAATGTTTCTGTCAGTTAATCCGGGATTAATATAATTGAAAACACACTTTTTAAGCCAGTATTGAACGTCTGTATTTTAGACATATCGCTAATCAGGAAATATAGAATCATGTTTTGAATCATTCAGCTCATAAATACATGATCACCATAGCGTCGAATTCCTTCCGTGTAACACGAAATGTGTTTGGATCAAATTGATCTCGACAATGAGAAAGATGCTGATGGTTGCAGTAAACCAATTGTTGATAGTCTGAGCACCAAACAATGCCACGTCTGCCACGTCATATCTGGTCTTTTCCGGGGGTAACCGGTATTTTCAACGCCTTTTTTCACTTTTTCCAAAACAATTCAGATGCAACGTAATTAAACATTATCTCACTCACTTAACAAGACTAGGACCACTTTCGTGGTCTAGTGGTAGATCGTCTGCCCGGAGAGCGGAAGGACGGGGGTTCGATGCCCGACCGCTTCATACCAAAAGACGTTTAAAGATGGTACTTGTTACAATGTCTGACGCTTGGCATTAAGGGGCTGAAACAAGGACTGGTCGACTCGGAGTCCGTATACTGTGTCTGAGTTGGGTAGGCATGTTAAACTGCTGCATGGTATCTCAGGGAGCCTGCACTGTAAAAAGGCATCAGTCCGGACTAGTACAAGCAACAACACGCCCACACTCACGCGCGCGCACGCACGCACGCACGCACGCACGCACACACGCACACACGCACGCACGCACGCACGCACGCACGCACGCACACACACACGCACACACACACATACACACACACACACACACACACACACGCACGCTATATAAGTGCAATAATATTGGACACTACGTTTAACCTAGCAGTTCGTCTCTCCTGACATCCCAAGATTTGGCGGCGGGCCCGGTTCTGTCCCGTATTTTAAAAAAATGCCAAAATAGAAATAAAATGGTTTGAAATTATAAACTTGGTTATAAACTTGAACGTTTTCATTTCACTCGTGTTCCAGGCACTGGTTGACATGGAGCCCCATCGGAGCTGGAGAGTGGAGAAATTCAAACTCAGAATATTTGACAAGTGATTCTTGCTGGACTCACGTGACCTCGGCACAAGTTGGTGACGTCATCGGTAATGGTGAGCACGTTGGCATTGTAACGGGTAGCAAGCTCACCACAAGTGCACGTTTTGATAAAGTTGTGAAGAACGATTTTGGATTTCGAATTCCCAAGGATACAATGACCCTGTGGCGTTTTACATGCTGAGATACAGGACTTTCATAAATGATATCTCCAATAAATAAAAATAGCGATCTATTTCTTATTGTTGTATTTGTCAATGTATGTGCCATTGAAAACAGTCGTTCTAGTCGTATGAGGCGCCGTAAATCGCTGCAGATTTACGTCCATTAGGCGCACCAGGATCCCAGGATCGTGACTTCGAATCAAAGCTTCGCTTTAATCATGTAACGGGTACAAGTGCACGTTCAGATAAAGTTGTGAAGAACGATTTTGGATTACTTTCTTCCCAGACACCAATTACCCTTTTATAAAGGCTGATATGCCACACTTTCATGGATGATGTCATCAAGATGATACAATAAAAAATAGCGATCTATACTTTATTGTTGTATCAGTTAGTGTCCTTGAATACAGGGGGCACATGGCGCACTTGGCACCAGTCTGCGAATGGTTCCGGGCCTGCATCCTCAACTATCCAGAGTACCATATTTCTATTTCATTTTGACAAATACCCATTAGCAGTTCACTACCCCAGCTTCGTTTCGAGCCTGATTCGAACAGCTCTGTATTAAAGATAGCTGTCCAATCAAAGTACTCTCACGAGCGAGAGAAAGTATGTGCTTAGTCAGAGATTGGAGTGATGGAGCTGGTGATGTCACTCCCGCTACGAATCTATGTCGCAAATGCTGTCCAGAGTAACAATAAAAAAAACAATTACCTCACATATACAGCCAAACAATTACCTCCCATGTACAGCCAAAACATTACCTCGCACATACAGCCAAACAATTACCTCCCATATACAGCCAAACAATTACCTCCCATATACAGCCAAACAATTAACTCCCATGTACAGCCAAACAATTACTTTACATATACAGCCAAACAATTACCTTACATATACAGCCAAACAATTACCTCACATATACAGCCAAACAATTACCTCATATATACAGCAAAACAATTACCTCCAACATACAGCCAAACATGTACTTCCCAAGGAAATAGATCTTCGAAAAGAGATTCTGAAAGAACAAATATGGTCTAACAAACCGGCACCTCCTGGATTAAGTGACATGTTTGTGACGTGTTTTAGTCAAAAAATAAATTCAATTTAAATCTTTGAAGCTTAATAAACTCACTTCCTTGTTGTCTTGTTTTATTTATTTATTCATTTCAATAGATATGACTGCGATTTTATAAAAAAAAAAAAAAAAAATATGATCCAACGTGTTTCGTCTTTACAAAACAAAACAGTTCAGGAAGTGATTATTACACTGCACTCAAATTACCTGGAAAATTTCGGTACCGTATACAGTGCTTATTTACAAATATTTAAAATTTAGTTAGCGACTACCGTGTTTGTATTCTATCACGGCTTCTCCCCTCCTGCACACATCAGCCACGTGAGGCAGTTCCGGTACTCGCAAAGGACCAAAAATGTGTTAAGTTATTACATATTAAGGTCGTTCGTACACGATGTGTCCGCCGTGTGACTAGACTGCGACAGCTGTGCACAATAATACTATAAAAGTGCAGCAGATCGGAGCACTTGCAACACTCTGCTTGAGAATTTCAACGTACACCCAGGTAAGCAAGTTGGGATATTTTTTCTGTCACAGCAAAACACATTACGAACCACAAAACATTTCTTTTCAGGACAGACAGTAAATGGACGATCTCTTCATGTCTGGAATTATTTCTTCAGTGAAGGAGAGGGTTATGAAATACTGTAAGGGACATTCCCGCGTTATCGCAATCTTGACCTTTGAGAAAATGTTAACTGCGCAAAGAGAGCGAACACGCGAGAATTTTCCTTCAAGTATTCCATTGGTCGTCCTATGTACTAGTCCGGACTGATGCCGATTTATAGTGTTAGCACACTGAGGTACCATGCCGCAGTGTAACATGAAAACCACACACAGACACAGTATACTGACTCCAAGCTGACATGTCCTTGTTTTAACCCCTTAATTCCGAGCGCCAGACAGGGTAACAACAAATACCATCTTTTAACGTCTTTTGGTATGACGTGACCGGGTATCGAATCCCGGACCTTCCGCTATCCTGGCGGACGCTCTCCCACTAGACCACGGAGGCGGTCACGGCTATCACGACTATAGTTCAAGGACGAGATATTTATCTTCCACAATTATGCTCTTGAAATCTTACCATGTGAGCTTTATGTGATATGTGCATAATATTCAATCCATTAAAATCTTGTCTTAATTTTACTCCGATAAGATAATATTATCAATAACATTAAATCTCATTTAAATTTAGGTTTCACTGATATTCCATCTTTTATTGTGTCCTTTTGAAACACACTGCAGTTGTCGCAGCCGTAAGAAGTGACGATGAAGACCACGTTCCTGATATTCCTTGTGGCGGTCGTCGTGCCTAGCCATGGATGGGTAGGTTGCATCTTCTCCCATCAGGCTCCCATCGCTTTGAACAATGGCGCAATGACCATGCTTTATGATATAAAGAATGAAATTTTATTTTCGAACGAGGAAATATTCCACATATAATTATGTGTTTATCTCAGAGTAAAATATTAATTTACCGTATCAATAGGAGTATATTTAAGAAGCAATGTTTTATTTTCTCTGGCATGTTCTGACTTGAATTATGTGATCAATCGAGATTTGTTAGTCAGTGGGGTGATATTTTATGTCGCATCATCATGTTTAAAATTTCAATTACATGCAGGTAGATAGGTGTTTCCTTCATCACTTTTCTATCAACGCTGTAACTCAAGAATAATTGTGTATTCATTACACGGGGGAACACTTGGGTCTATAGTCTTCCCCACTTGAAATATGAATCACGCAATATCGTGATTACTAATTAACGAAGATAGCTGTATGTATTCCAATACTCATAGAATTGAACCAAACCATCGACAAGGGAGATTACTGACAGTTATGTCAAAAAAACATATTTTCAAGAAAAATCCATTTTGGTATTGATGATACTCAGTATTCGCAAAGAAGGTAAACATGTCTTCCCTACCGGTAGTACACGCCACCCAAATTTTCAATAAATAATGTGCCAGTGAGTAGGAAGGAATGAAAACTCAATGTCAGGGTCAAAACACAGGAAAGCATGCTGAGCGACGTATCAAGCTCAATAGATTAATTGCACTTTTCACATTAAACTGCGAATTGGGAGCAGGCACATGTCAGTAAAAGATGTTTTTCGACGGCTGTTTTCAAAGGGCCAGGTGACTGGTAGTGATATTCAGAGGATCGCTGACAAGTATATAGGCAGCACCACTTGGTCCTACGCCTCCTCGCACAGAACCGGGGCAAACACCAAAAGTGTAACATCTTCGTCGCGGAAGTCTTGGAGGAGGCGGGAGTCGACGTCCCTCACAGGTGAGATGCACCCGTGAAGATCCGAGTGAAATAGGTCTTCAAACAACCCATGCTTGTTGTGAGTGGCAGCTATGCTTGTCGTAAGAGGCAACTGACTGGATCGGTTGGTTAGGCTTCCTGACGTGGTTGATGCAAGTATCCAAAATGCGAAGATCGATACTCATGTTGTCAATCACTGGATTGTCTGGTCCAGGCTCGATTATTTACAGACCGCCGTCATATAGCTGGAATATTGCTGAGTGCGGCGTTAAACAACAAACAAACGAACGCAGTTGAGTTGAGCACACCTGAAATAGTCAGTGCGATCTGCTGTAATATTGGATAGGAAGACTCCTTCTATTAATGCAACCCCCTTAGCGGAGTAGTACGAAGAACACACACACACACACACACACACACACACACACACACACACACGCACAATAACAATAATAATAATAAAATTACTTTTGCACGCGAGGTTAAATCAGCCTCACCACCTTTCCACCTCATTTTAGCATTTCACTCTCTTTCGTAAGTGGAAATCTGGAATGTTTCCGTCAGTTTACCCGGGATTAATATGTTTGAAAACACACTATTTAAGCCTTTTGGCACATGCAAATTTGAACATCTGCATTTTAGACATTTAGCTAATCAGGAAATACAGAATCATATTTTGAATCATTCAGCTCATAAATACATGATCACCATAGTGTCGGATTCCTTCTGTGTAATACGAAATGTGTTTGGATCAAATTGATCTCGACAACGAGAAAGATGTTGATGGTTGCAGAAAACCAATGGTTGATAGTCTGAGCACCAAACAATTCCACGCCTGCCACTTCATATCCGTTTTATTCCGGGGGTCACCGGGTTTTTCAACGCCTCTTTCTCACGTCTGATAGTAGAGCGTCCGCCAGGAGAGCGGAAGGTCCAGGGTTCAATGCCCGATCACGTCATACAAAAAAACCTTAAAATATGATACTCGTTGTTACCCTGTCTGGCGCTCGGCATTAAGGGTCTTAAAACAAGGACTGGTCGGCTTGGAGTCAGTATACTGTGTCTGAGTGGGATATTCGTGTTAATCTGCGGCATGGTATCTCAGTGAGCTTGCACTGTAAAAAGGCATCAGTCCGGACTAGTACAAGCACGCACGCACACACACACACACACACACACACACACGCACGCACGCACGCACACACACACACACACACACACACACACACACACACAGGTGCATGCACGTCGCTATATAAGTGCAATGATATTGGACACGACGTTAAACCCAATTCCATATCTCCTCACAAGATTTGGCGGCGGGTCCGGCTCTGTCCCGCATTTAAAAAATGGCCAAAGAAATGGTTTGAAATTATGATTTTTTCATTCCTCAGACCCTTACCGCTCTAATAATTTTTTTTCATTTTATTTTGAACACCGACTCAATGTTTTGAGACGAAAAAATATGCGAAAAATAAAACCTTATTGATTTCACCATTTTTGTAAAGAAGAATATAATCCATCATGATATTTCACTTGTATTCAAATTACTCTGCTAACGTATTATATAACATATTAATGTAACTGTCGTAATGCATGTCTTAAATCAGAAACCAGATTGATAGCAGCTGTAGGGAGAATTTATACCGTGATATTCGACTTTTTATTCTGCTCAACAATTTCTTATATCTTTAGATTGATAGAATCCAGACTGATCGCAGCTG